AAGCACTTTGGGACAACCATGACCTGGATGACTGAGACATTTCATTCTTAACCACCCTGCCCTCCCTTCCTAGAACAACAACAACAACAACAACAACAACTTTCAAATTACTAACTGGTGTGGTACCTGATGCAGTACAACAGCATCTAGTTGAAAACAATCTCTTTCCACCTGAGCAGAAAGGAAACCGCCCCAATAGCAGAGGAACAAAAGATCAACTCCTAATAGACAAAATGATCTTGGAAAACTTCAAGAAAAGGAAGACCAACCTGAATGTGGCATGGATTGACTACAAAAAGGCATTTGACTCTCTGCCACATGACTGGATAATCACGTGCCTAGAAATAACAGGAGTAAGTAGAAACATCAGAAAATTTGTGCAAAGATCGATGGCACAATGGAAGACACAGTTGCAGATCAATGGTGAGAGACTGGGAGAGGTTAATATCAAGAGAGGAATATTTCAAGAAGATTCATTGTCACCATTACTATTTGTTATTGCACTGTTTCCTCTGTCAACAATACTGAATAACTCAGGACATGGCTATCAAACATCAAAACATCTGCCAGACTATCCCACCTCCTTTATATGGATGATCTGAAGCTGTATGGAAAAACATCATCTGAAATAGAATCGCTGCTCAACACTGTCCGTATATATAGCCAAGATATTGTAATGGAGTTTGGCTTGGACAAATGTGCCACACTTAATATCAAACAAGGAAAAATAGTGAAAACTGAAGGAATCAAGATGCCCCACGAAAATAACATTAAGAGTCTGGATGAGGAAGAATACTACAAATACTTGGGTATCCTTCAAGCTGACAACATCAAGCACACTGAAGTCAAGAAAAAGATTAGAGGTGAATACATCCAGAGAGTGAAGAAGATCTTAAAATCCAAACTCAATGGAGGAAATACCATAAAGGCAATCAACACTTGGGCAATCCCAGTCATTAGGTACACAGCTGGAATAGTGGACTGGACTCAAGCAGAACTAAAATCAATGGATAGGCAGACCAGAAAAATAATGACAATGAATCACGCCCTTCATCCACGCAGTGACATTGATAGACTTTATCTACCAAGGCAAATAGGTGGGCGTGGAATGCTACAAGTACATCAGATGGTTGAAGAAGAAAAAATGGCTTTGGAAGAATATCTGAAGAATAATGATGAAGATGCACTGAAATTAGTATATCAGGAAGGCTTACTGACTACTGGAGAGACCAAACTGGCCTACAAGAAAGACCAAATGAAGAACAGATAGAGGCATGGGAAGACAAAGCACTACATGGCCAATACATAAAAAAATAGCTGGGAAAGCAGATAATAACAAGACCTGGCAATAGCTAAAAGCAGGAAAATTGAAGAAAGAGATAGAGGGACTAATTCTGGCTGCACAAGACCAAGCCTTAAGGACAAATGCATATAAAGTCAAAATTGAGAAGACAGCAACAGACAGTAAGTGCCGTCTATGCAAAGAAGCTGAAGAAACAGTGGACCACCTGGTAAGCTGTTGCAAGAATATTGCACAGACTGACTACAAACAGCCGCATGACAAAGTAGTAACAATGGTGCTTTGGAAGATCTGCAAAAAATATAATTTGCCTGTAAGCAAAAATTGGTGGGATCATAAAATAGAGAAAGTCATAGAAAATGATAAAATGAAACTGCTCTGGGACTTCAGAATTCAAACAGACAAGCACCTGCAACATAACACCCCAGATTTAACAATTGTCAATAAGAAAGACAAAAAAGTCTGGATAGTGGACGTGGCAGTGCCTGGAGACAGCAGAATAGACGAGAAAGAACTGGAGAAGACAACAAAATACAAAGACCTACAAATAGAAATAGAAAAACTGTGACAAAAGCAAGCAAGGGTAGTACCAATAGTAATAGGCTCCTTGGGTGCAATCCCAAAACAACTGGAGCACCACTTGAACACCATTGGCATTGATAAATTCGCTATTAGTCAATTGCAAAAGGCGGCCTTACTAGGAACTGCTTCCATCCTGCGACGATATCTGTAATACCATTAAACATCCACATCTGCCTATCCCAGGTCCTGGGTAAGGACTCGATAGGTAGACAAAATGCCAAATCCAGTCTGAACATCTGGCTGACTGTGCGATGATCATCATAATAATAATAAAGTTGGAAGGGACATTGGAGGTCATCAAGTCCAACCCCCTGCTCAGGCAGGTAACCCTATACCATTTCAGAGAAATGGCTGTCCAGTCTCTTCTTAAAAACTTCCAGTGTTGGAGCATTCACCACTTCTGGAGGCAGGTTGTTCCACTGGTTAATTGTTCTAACTGTCAGGAAGTTTCTCCTTAGTTCTAGGTTGCTTCTCTCCTTGATTAGTTTCCATCCGTTGCTTCTTTTTCTGCCTTCAGGCACTTTGGAAAATAGCTTGACTCCCTCTTCTTTGTGGCAACCCCTGAGATATTGGAACACTGCTATCATGTCCCCCCCCTCATCCTTCTCTTCATTAAACTAGACATACCCAATTCCATCAACCTTTCCTTATATGTTTTAACCTCCAGTCCCCTAATCATCTTTGTTGCTCTTCTCTGTAGGCTTTCTAGAGTCTCAATATCTTTTTTACATCGTGGTGACCAAAACTGGATCCTCTAAAAATGAAGAGAACTGGACCAAATTTGGCACATAGGAAAAACAAGATCAAGCTTTAAAATGGGCCTACTCTGGTTGAGGACTATCAGCCTTGTGAAGTAGTCCAAACAATAAACACGCCCAGAAGAATTAGCTCTACTTTTATTGTAAGGTTACATTAAAATAATTTTGCAAGTACAATTCTCCCTCATTGCCTTTATAGCCGAGGGAGAAAGGAAAGTCCTTTCTGTGTTGTTTGCCATTCCTGTTGTGGGCTAAGCTGTTGTTTATCTGACCATGGCCCTGATGGAGATCTTCCCTTTGTCTTCCAAGGTCATTTTCACAAACTGTTACATTGGATGTGGAATTTTTTTTAAAAACAAATATATTCCCCACTGCATCCCTAAGGTAGAGGCTGTTGGGAAGTGACTCAGAATACTGCAGATTTCTCCATTTGAAGTCCCATGCCTTCTTTCTTGCTGGTCACATAATCCTGGCCTGTTCTTAAGAAATGGGAAAGAATTCCATGATTCTTTTTATGAAAGATGTTCAGCATGCTTTCCTTATTTTATTTATTTATACACATCTTTATATTCTAAACATACACAGTAAAACAAGATTAAACATATTATTTGGCCTCCTATCTAAAAGTAATCCTTCCCAGGTACTATAGTTTTTAATTATTTTGCACCCCTTGTTCCAAAGGTTTGGAAAAGTCAGTCTTACTGCTTTCTAAAATGATTACAGGAACATGGCTGTCCTAATGTTAGTTGAGAGAGCAGGCTATTCCAAGTAATTTTCATCCATACCTCTATTCTGAGTGGCCATCTGTCTTTTTTTATAAAGAGGAGTCCCCTAATTTGAATTCCAATTAAATGTAATATTTAAGCTCATGAGAAAATAAGGAAAGAACAAAATACTTGAATTTGCCCATCAATAGAATACCTAAATAGCACACTTAGCAGAACAATAGTCTGTGGTCATACTCTCTATAACACGGGTGTCAAACTCGATCATGTCACGTGAAGTATCATGATTTATCATGACGTTTTTTGCCTTTAAGGAGCTGGGGTGGGCGTGGCCTGTGCGTGATGCATCTGGCCCACAGGCCGCCAGTTTAACACCCCTGCTGTATAATGAGTTACACTGTATACTTATTTCACTCAGAGATTGTTTGTTTTTACGTCAGCACAAATGTTATGGGAATCTTTGCATCCTGCCTTTTCTTTCTATTTCTTATAGAGTTACCCAAAATCATGACTTCTTACTCTACTTTCTCTAAATCTGTTGGTGAATCTATTTGTTTCCCAATGCATTCACAAAATCAAAATGGGCAGTTTTTATTATATCTAAAATAATTGTAAAATGATTTAGATAAAATGCCTTTATCTCTAAACTATGTAGCAGGTCATAGATAAAAGAGATGGGAGTTATAAATGAGTCTGGCTCACAAGTGAACAGATTTAAAACTGTTTCAGGTAACAAATTAAACAATGTTTGCTTTCGTATGATGAAATTTTGCAAGTCCTATGTATATCTGATAATCAAATCTAGTAGAAGAAATGGATACTATCTGCCACAGATTTCTATATTGTTTTCATCTATTATTGCTTAATAAATTCTTTCATTAGCATACATGTATTGTTTTTTTCCTAGTCTATTACATTTTTGATCATTATGATTGTAAATATGATAGTAGCAAGATTATGGCAGATTTACTAAATTATTTAGAGCAATATTAAGGAAAAATTGTTGGTGCTCCCAAAACAGAAAATGAGGTGAATTTGTGCATGTCTCAGAGGCCCCAAAGAAACTATCCATGAAAAAAAGCAAAGCTAAGACATTATTGTTATAGAATTATACACCCTATATGGAGAATGAAGAGAAAAAAGTTCACTAAAGAAAGCAGAGTTAAATGTAATCTGAAGCAAAGCAAATCTAAGATGGGAGGTATAAGAATATGAATTAAGATTCCATGAACATTTTAAATATAAATACATTAAAAGTGTAAAAAAAAGTCCAACAACAATAAGAATGGGTGAAAAAAGCTAAAATTCAGTATGGTGGGAAATAGGTTATACTAAACAATTACTTTAAAAACACACATACATAAACACACACAAACAATATGACTTAAATTTAAGACAAACATAAATACACCTCTAAAAGGGACTTTTCAATCATCTATACTTGATGACAAAAAAAGAGTTTAAATGAAGACATTTTTCCTGAAAGGCTGAAATAAGATCATTCTGACTCTATTCTACAACCTTAGTTAACTCTTCTGTAATTATTAAACAAAAGAAGGATATAGTTGAACAGAAAAACATAAGATGTCTTGGACAGTTAATACAATCAAATGGATCAAAAACTGGCTATCTAACCGTTTTAAGAGGGTAATCGTAAGTGGCAGTCCATCTAGTTGGGGAGAGAGTTCCAGTGGGATCCAGGGATCGCAATTCGGTCCCATTTTGTTTTATATCTTTATAAAAGATCTGGAAGACAAAGTAGAGAATACGCTAAATAAATTTTTTAGATTTGACTACTTAGGGAATGGTGAGCAAAACTAGAACTAACATAGTAGTGTAAATCATTTAATTCTAAATGTCTCTGAAATTGGATGATAGATTTTACATTCCAGTATTTCTAAACATAGAGACAGAAGAAATTAACAGAACATGAGAAACTTAACAGAAGGAAAAAGAAGGCGACTTTGCTACATAGATCTGTATCCTCCATCAAATATCTATATACTAATAGTACAGATCACATGACAAAATAGAAGAGGCTACACAATCTCACATGAAGCCTGATTACAGGTACTAAATATATAAAGAACTTGGGAAAAATGAAAACAAAGAACAGGAGAGTCAAGTGCAGGAGATTCAAAGCCAAACGTGGAGGAATAAGTTCCATTAAAGCCAATGGTAAAACATGCTGAAATATTGAAGTGGCAATTCTTAACATTAAAAAACCCTCTGGCAAATACTCAATATAATAGTCTTCAGACTATGTTTCCAAGTTATTTCTGTGCAGGGTTAGCGAAGAAAATGGCACACTTGGAACAAAACAAAATGAAAATTCATAAAAAAAACATGGAAGGAGATTTTCCGCATGAACACACTGAAAATTCAAAGTGTAAATTATAATTTAATTCAGGAGATCAATGCATGCATTTTTTTGGGTAAATTTATTTTGTTTTCAGAACTGAATTAAGAGGAGAGTTTTAATGGAAACAAACACAAAAACTGCATATTATTACACTGAAATTGTACAACATATAAGAGCAGAATGTGAGGTAAAATAAACTCTGCTGTACTTGCCATCTTTTATTATGTTATATTATTGATTTTATAGTAATTTGTTTAATTGTTGTGAGACATCCAGAATTATTTTAACTTTATTTGGTATTATTGGACTGTTTCCCAGTATTTTCCTTTTCTCGATATAGTTCTTTTAATATCAACAGATTTGATATCACTAATTTAAAAAGAGAATTTCTTTTTAGAAATCCATCATTTGTGCAAGACTCCAAGATTACTTTGCTATTCTTACATTTTAGGACTAAAAATAAAGTTTGTTAAATTGTGTGATTCTTCTCCTTAAATGTCATGAATTAACAAATGTTCCCTTTGTGCAAGGCAATGCTTAATATGATATTCTGAATGCTGCTTCAGTGTGCTACTGTATATACTAAAATAAACCCCTATTATAGCTATGCCAAACTTTGGATTTTAAGAGTCTAGGAGTACTCATATAATATCTGTTGGGAACAATCAAAGCAGTTATATCTTTCTCCAGGAAATAAGCTGTTTTTGGTGTTCTTGGGGTTCTCTGAGCTTCGTTGTTTGTTTGCGGACATCTCATTACCCAGCTAGGTAATAGTACTGTGACGGGGGGGGGTTGGTGGAGGGAGAAAACAGTACTCTAATTAAGGAACTGTCAAGGAGAAAATTACACCCCTCCATAAAAATAGGCAGCAAACTTCACAATCACTTGCAATGATGATTCTATCTAGTTGGGTAATGAAATGTCCCCAAGCAAACAACCAAGCTTAGAGAATACCAAGAATTTCACAATTCAACTCTGAGCTACAGATATTGCCTTCTATTGAAAAACCTGCTAGTTTTAGGCGTTCCTGATAGGTGCTACATGTATGCCCATGCACACTGCAAAACACTTTTCCCCCTGTAAAACTGAAGTACTACATAGCCCTTGTACTAATCTTCAACCACTAGGCTACTTCGATTTATTAGATCTTTGTTTATCTCATACATCTTAGCAGACACTTCAGTAACACATATGCTATTTTTAATGGTTTTCCTTTCATTCAAATGGTAGCATTCACCCAACTGTCCAATTGAAAGAAAATAAAACAAAGGAAACTGTATTCTATACAGAGCACCACCATTTTGATAGAATGGAGACCAGCTCTTGAGATTAAGTTTGAAAATAACTTTCCTTTGATAAAAGTCTGTTGCAATTATCATATAGTGCTGATATTCTCAGTGTTTGCACATTCAGCTGAAAATTCTGGTTTGGATGTTTAAACTTGGGGTATTGTAGATACCAGATTTGGCCAATGTATGAATACCAAGTCAATTAGGTTGCTTTAGAACACTTTTGTGGCTCACTGAGGTGAGATTGGGGGCAGTAATGGAATGACTAAAAATTAGGGCTGTGCATGAACTGTGTATTAACAAGAAGAAAAGATAAAGGCTTGGAAACAGCTGTGGGTTGTGTTTGTGATTTAAAAATTGTGGAAGTGGATGTATATGGACTCTTAATAAATATAGTTTCCACAAAAAGATTAAAAGACTCTTTTACTATGGAAATAGAAGACTTTTACCCACAGCTTGACTATGAGCTGATATTGGAAAAAATATTGGAAATGACAGAGGAGATGAAGTCATGGAGAAAAACTAAAGACCATCTTGTAGAATCACAAGCTGAGCCTCAAATGTTAAAAGACCAATCTACAGGCCAAGAAGAAGCTTATATGCAACAGTATACACAATTTGAGATGGAAGAACTCACTGATCAATTGAACTTTAGAAAAATTCTGGACCCAAAATCCCAGATTGAGACTTTAAATGACTACTCTATAAATCAACTAACTACTACAGAGGAGGATATTTCACAAGTCTATGTACAAACGGTGGAGAACTTTGAAGATCAAAAAATGACTATAAGTGAAGTACTCCCACTGCTAAAATTAACAGGAATTGATAGCCAGACACGATTGATTGAAAGTTATGACAACCTGGATAATCAACCTGAAATTATAATATAGAATAAAATGGACTATATTGCTTAAATGATACTGGAAGAAGGGGAAGAGAATTTTGATCAGAGCGATTTGTTGATAAACATTAGTACTCAAATACTGAGATTTGACGACATAGATGCGACATTATGGAAACCAGCTTGGTATAGAAAAAAAGCCAGAGTTAAATTTAAAAGTGTGATTGAAAATCTTAATTACTGGATCAAAAGGGCTTTAGAGATTTGGACTGATTTGACAATCTAATTGAATAAATGAAAGCAGTAAGATAATAATTGGTGTAATAATATGTTTGTCTTAGATACGATAGTTAATTTGGTTGAGATTTAAATTTTACTTAACAGGTTGAAATGATTCTTTTTTTGTTTTTTTACTCTGTTTATATAGAAAACTATTTTGTAATAGCAGAAGAATTAGAGAGATCTACGATAAGATAAGAAAGGGTATTAATTAATGATGTATTAAATCAGTGTTTCTCAACCTTGACAATTTTAAGGCATGTGGACTTCAACTCCCAGAATTCCACAGCCAGCAATGCTGGCTGTGGAATTCTGGGAGTTGAAGTCCACATGCCTTAAAATTGTCAAGGTTGAGAAACACTGTATTAAATTAAGATATGGAATATATGTGAAAATATTAGAATGTTATTCTTGGAATATTATGTGTGTTGTAGAAGGGATACCCAAAGTTTTATTAATATGTTTGTTTAAGATTAATTGAAATATGTTAATTGAAATTAGTGGAGCTTAAAAGCAGGAGTGATTTATATAGATGTAATAGTAGGGATGATTCTGCGGATTGATTGAATTTTAAGAAGAAATAGATTAAACTAAATTTGTTATATCATGTGAGGGAAATAGAGGGGGGAATTTTTAAGATATTAATTTTAGTTATATATATATGACTTGTTTTGCTATGATTGATTACCCTTTCACCATGGTGTTTTCCTGAGCACCTTGATGTAAAAATTAAGAAGACCAATAAAATGTGTATATAAAAAAAAATTAGGGCTGTGCATGAACTGGAAATGCATCAGATCTCATGTGAGATCAGAACTGTTCTTCTCGTCTGTGTGATACTAAATCCCCCAAAATGCTGCTTTTTAAGAATCTCAGTAAATCACTACAGAAGAAGATTTTTGAAGATATTTGCAAATCAAAATATTTACCATAGATCACTATCTGTAAAACATCCCTAGAACACATATTTACTTATCAAGTAAAATGTCTGGATCTACCTTTGTGAAATTTGACATGATTTCTTGCCATAGAATAAATATATAACATTATTTTTTATAGACATTGCCCATCAAGAGAGAACAGCAATTAACATATTCTACCCCCCAAAAAAATAGAATTTACTTTAGAGATGTAAAGCTTACATCAACAGGCATTTTGTACTTTGGATTACAAAGGAGGAAGTCAGAAATTAAATATTAATTTATATTAATTTTAGATTAATTAATTAATTAATTTTTCTTTTACTTTTTCTAAACATTTATAAATAATAATATAGTGGAGATTTTAGAATTAAACTCAAGCTTCCTTCCTTCCTTCCTTCCTTCCTTCCTTCCTTCCTTCCTTCCTTCCTTCCTTCCTTCCTTCCTTCCTTCCTTTAATTTATGTAGTCTCCCATCTTGCAAAAGCAATTCTGCACAACACATAACAATGAGATAAAACAACAATATAAAAGTTAGATATGCAAAAATCCATATCTTCAAATATTTATAAAAATATAGCAAATAAATCATATATAAAAATTATAAAAAATCAAATATACAAATTCTAGGTGATGTGAAGGGATAACAATGGCCACCTCAACAACAGAGGCATCTCAGTCTCCAGTGCCATGGCAGTCCCAGGCCTGATAACATAACCCACGGGTCGGCAACCCGCGGCTCCGGAGCCGCATGCGGCTCTTTGAGCCATCTCCTGCGGCTCCGGAGCCTCCTCCTCCCCCTCCCCCTCCCCCCTTCTTCCTCCTGCTGCCCCCCCCCAGGCTTCAGTCCCCGGCTGGGGCAGCAGGGACATCACTTCCTGGGTCGACGAGCCGGCCACCTGTCTGCCCATGCCAGGCGGAAGTCCCGGCTGGGGTGGCGGCGGCGGCATCTCTCCCTGGGCCGTCCCCGGGCCACTGAACCGGCTATGTGTCTTTCCAGGCCGGGCCAGGCAGCAGTCCAGGCTGGGGCGGTGGCAGGAGGGTATTGCTTCC